CCCCAAAACCCCAAAACCCCAAAACCCCAGAGTGATCGATTTCTAAATCAATGATATTTATTAAATTAAGATTAAATCATTTTTGTTCGTTAAAAATAAGGTATTTTCCTTAAGTTGCTTTTGCTGCTAGGATTTCTTATATGATCTTCCTCATCACTGTTACTCTGGCTTTTAAGGCTACTATTGTTAAAACTAGTTTTGTTAGTCCTTAAGATGACTGGCTAGTTGCATCAGCTATTCTTGAGGTGATCCATTGTAGTCTGTCAATAGGTATTCAAAATTTTCTCCATTCTGTTAAGTCAATGATACTCTGATGGCATTCTGAGGACCCTCATTTTTCTTCATAGTTCTGGTCTTAGTTCTCTAGTCATTCTGTGATAGGGCCGAGTTTGCACCTCTTACTTACGGCTTAGTGGAGGAGTTGACGGAAGTCCATTTTCCCGGAGAAATGTTGCTTAGTTGAGTATTTAAGATGTAGAAACCCTGATTTTGCTGGTAGTTGTTCGGCTTTCTTGCCTTTTATGGTCTCCTTGTAGCACTGCTGTTTTGTTCAAACTGGTAGATAATGTCATACTAATTACTGCATTCCTTCATGTAATTTGACTCATCTATTAGCATATCTCTTGTTCTTTTTCTCAGTGACATCTGGAACTCGGGATTGTTGTTATTCTAAGGCACGATTTCAGTGTTGATCTCAACATGGCTTTCTTGAGCATTTGATTCGTTATTTATCAGACCTGACTTTCTGGTTGCGCTGGCAATCTTCACTGGAGGGCTGGTCCTAAAATATGATTACAATATCGAAGATATACTTCTTCTTTGAATTGGAGTCCTTGCTACTGAGTAGGTACTGCTTGAAGTTATCATCAGCGGTACTGAGTTACCCATTATCTTATATAAAGCTACCAGTATCTTTTTGTTTCCCCTAAAAGTATCTTATAAAGATTAAAATTAATCTTACCTTTTAGGTTTTTTTCTAAGTTGCTCTCGATGGCAGAAATATCTTTCTTTGAGCTATCTGTTCTTCAGTCTCAAACTCTTAAAAAAAGATTTATGAATGATTTTAAAGTTACCTTCCTAATTTTTTTGCAGCAAATAGACGTGGTACTCTTTTAAATGCATTATATTTTGGTAGCCGAGTTTTATTAGCTTTTACATTTCTTCATCAGTGGCTATCAGCATTCCTTTCTAGATTTGTGGATCTTGAATTTCTTCTCTCAAAGCAGCCTGTTTCTTTTTCACTTATTCAATGAACTCAGTGTCGGATTCTTTGTTAGAACTTGAATTGTTTGATTTTCTGATAGCTATAGGGGTGACTTAAATTTTACTAAACTTACTTATCTTTTGCTTTTGCATGGCTTTGATTTGTTTAGTTGATTAGATATTATTATTATTATTATTATTATTATTATTATTATTATAACTCTAATAATCTTGATATAAATCAATTTTATCTTCATGGGGTTTTGGGGTTTTGGGG